TATGCTCCTTAGCCAGTTTGTCTGCGTGTACTAAATGACACTTTATTGCATTATTACTAAAATAATTGATCTAAATTGGCACGTGAAATCGCTAAGCCGGCAGCATTTCGAAATTTAGCATGTTTTGGTATAATCATGCCGTCCAACCTGGCTGACGCTGGTCCATCAGGCCCACAGAAACGCTCTGGGACCATCGGCTGAGCTGGTCCATCAGGTCCACAGTACCACTCTGGGATCATCGGCTGACGCTGGTCCATCAGGTCCACGGGGTCGCGGACTGCTGTTACCTAGAAATGACCGGAACGTTGCGGTGCGCGAACACTGCCGGTCCCGCCGGCGCGAAATCAGCGTCCAGGGACGCTTCGGTGACGGGTGAAACCGAATCGTTCCCGTCGACAGAACAAACGGAGGCAAGCGCCGGCGCGCAGTGCCAGTTGGATGATGTTACCTGGTGTTTGGCGCACGCCATCGAAATTGGTCCGAACTAGACTGCGTGACCGCAAGGCGTCTACCCCTTCTTGGGTCGCCGAGGCTCGTCGAACACAGGAATCCCGCGTTGTGTGCTGCGCGGCACTGTTCCGGGCCACAGAAGAATTGAATTGACTTCGCTGGACCCATGGTCTGTCGTTGACCTGCCGTAGGTCAGCGACCTTACAAGGTGCATCTAAGTTTTTGATACCATACAATCTGCTCTTCAATTATCCGCAACTATGCAACATTTGGCTTGGTTACGCCGCGTCGTTCGGAAACCATTCCGGAAAAACGTCGGAGGGTCGAATTGCCCCCCCCCCCCCCACCCGAGCACATGTTAAACGCTCGGCCAGCGCGTGACTTCGTGCCAGCGCGTGGTTCGCAATTAACTCATGGCGCGACAGGCAGTAGTTTTATAGCGATTGAACCACAACCGTGGTGCATTTTTAAGTGGTCATGCTCGAATAATTCTGCAATTTTTATATACGCATTCCTTTCAGGCCGTATGCCGTTGGTGATAGGCCGATAGGCCGTAGGCCGTTATGTCGAGTGTCGTCACCGACGCCCGATGACATCAGCCACAGATCAAATAACGGCACGTGTTCTCCTAAGTATAGATAAGATGTCACTGCGACATTTGCTCTCGGTGCCAGCCAGAAAGGTCTTGATTTCTTGGGTCAAAGACTCAGTCTAATAGAAGCCTATTAGCACAGAAGTCTTAAGCGATCACGGTCAGACAATGCTGTGATCCGAGCAAAAGCTAACGTGTATGCGTTATCTGTTTTGATATGAACGACCACAGACAAATTGTGAGGCAAGGCGGGGAAGGGGCGGTGACGTCAACTGCAACTGCAACTGCGTTAACTGCAGCCGCTATTACATTGTCGGATTTGCGCTCGTGAGACTTCATATAAAGCGGCGGAAGGCTGATGGGATGAACATAGAGAAGAAATGTAGTGCTCCAATTAGTGTTTTGACACGTTGGAACTAACCAAATGTCGCATGCTCATTCTGTTACTTATCTCAACAGATGACGCACTGATATTGTGCAGATGATATGATAAAATGCTTGGAAAGTTATGCCGAAAGTGACGTCACTTAAAACATCATAAAGGTGTGTCTTTGCCACCATTCATATATATATATATATATATATATATATATATATATATATATATATCTATATCTATATCTATATCTATATGCATACGGAAATATGGAACTTTTTTAGATTGAATAAGTATATAATGCGTGTTTTCGTTTAAAACAGCTATATATTGCTCTAGGTGAACATTTTCACAGCGCAAATATCGGCTACAACTGGCGGTGAGATTTATCAATGAACTTTTGTGTGTTTCCAGTATGCAAAGTGTCTCCTGCAAATGGCTTCAGGTTTTCACCCGTTTGCCTACATTTTCTAAGTAATACTTGCTATATTTCAAAACCAATATACCGTTGGTTATCATTCTATTGACCACATTTCCTCAACATCCAGTATCTCTTACAGGTTTTGCTGTCAAAAATTTCTAGAATGGCTCCACAGTTGGTATTGATTGGTAATGTGTTTTGTTTTGTATACAACAACCCCATGGCGTCATAAATGTGTAATGACTTCGAATTAGCCATTCATATACTGTTGTGCATGCATACTGCTGTGGACATCAGTTATTGTGTACATATACCGCTGTGCACATATGTTATTGTTTACACATGCTGCTGTATGCATATACCGTTATTCACATCTACTGTTGTGTGCATTGCTGAGGCAGGCAGCAAATTATTGCTAATGAACTTATACTCTATGATATATTGCAAACTTGCAATGGGCTTCCCAGCATGGATGCCTTCTTCACTTTTTTTTGTTTTTGTTTTGGTGAGGTAAAAATATAGAGGTGATATGATACACAGCAATGGAAGTCATGCTGCATGAGCACCAGACTTCAAGTGTGACTCGCTTGTAAGCTTGGCATCATTGAATATAAAAATGTGTCACTGTTTGCCATGAAAAGTGCATGTCACTGTTGTAACCAATTTTTAAAATGTACTCCAGACGGCCAATACCCGTTGCACCTTATTCAGACATAGGCTCCAAATGACAGCAATTAATTAAAAATAGACTTGCATGCGCGATCCTTGCATATGAAACACTTCTTTCTCAGTTGCTTCATTGGGGCTTGCGCTTTCTCCGCTCTCTGTCTATTGTCGCTTGACCAATGCGTGCTAGCTTTGTTCTTGTGCAGCACTATGTCACATGCTGGCGGTGGTGGGACTTTGTTTTTTGATTGGAATGAGGGCATGAGCCTTATCCATCTTTTTACATGGATGCATTTATTCAGTGTCTACCACTTTATTATGCGGTCACAGCTTGAATACTTGTGTGCTGCTAATTTATATCACATAGCTGATAGCTAAGATATCGCACACAAAAGACATTGGGATGGAAGTGGAGGCTTCATGTGTGGGCCTTTCTATTGCTAATATTAGATATCATTATATCGACATCACATACATAAGTCCACAAACTTGCCACTCCTTCGCATACGTTCCACACAAAACGCAAACGCATTAGAAACTGAGCAGATGTTATTTCGAGTGCGCAAATATGAAACATTGCACAACATTTCAGCGTTGTAACAATTTGTAAGACAGCAGATGAGCGTTCGTACCTTGGTAATGTCTTTATGTCGTCTCACAGCCTCTGAAAATTGTGATAAAACAATTTCTAATGTAGCATGGTTTAAGAACAGATTATTGTTTTGCACACAAAAAAAACAGTTTTGGGCAACAGCAACCCCCTGACATAGTGACCAGCGCGCATGCCCACGAATGGGATCGCTCCGAGGCTGCTCCAAGAGGCTGCAAGGAAGCAGGTATTTTTAGTAACTTTGAGACTCCTCCGGGGTATCAGCCACTGGAGCTAAGGGAGATACTTCATTGAATGCTACGATGGCAATGCTCCATCGTAATTTGATCGACTCATCTGCTTGTAATCAGACAATGCCCGGCAGAGAATGGTGTATGTGGGGGGGGGGGGGGGGGAGGTCGCTGGGCCATGCCACCCTTCTCCTTCGGTCACTCATGAAGTCCTGGTGACCCTTCGTGGCACCCCATACAAGTTTATGGTGAAGGCATAACAAAGCCGTCATTTCGGAACCAAAAACCCTTATCTTAAAAGGCAACACATTTCAGGGGTCCAAAAAGGTACCGAATCATAATTTTCTAACCAAAATTATTGCAGTACATCTCGATCCTTGTTGATTCCTTCAGCACAACACAGTACTGGGCTCTGGTTACGGATCTCCACCATGGCTCCGTACTGATTCACGGTCCCTTTAGGTTAAAAATCACAAATCAGGATCCGGTTTCCGAGGAGAAATCTTAGGACAGTGAACACGTCTCCTTGTAGGCATACTGACGCCTCCGCAGTGACCCCTCGGCTTGCCCCTGCAGCGGACCCCTTGCATTTCACAGACCCTGAACGAGAGGGGAAGTGCCGACCGATGGTTGACGGGTTCTCGTGAACTTTGAAAAATAGCAATCAATTCTACAACTCGTATTGCAAGCATTCCATTCGCAACAAACATGTCAGCGCCAGGCTTATCTTTCACCCGTGTTCGACAAGAAAAAATATCGTGCGGCTACATATTTACGGGAAGTATTGTTTCACTAAATCAAGAGTGCTGCAAACCTACGCAAGTTCTGAGGTCTATAGACATACTGCAAGAAAGAGTATAGCCTGTCGAAGGTGAACCTTATGTATCTTACTTTGCATGGTGTTTGTTTTTGTATGCATTGGCAAAACACGAGTTAGAAGCTTTAAGCATTTGTACTACTACCAACTGTGGCTGTAGGCTTAACACCGCGGCAGTTGAGGCCAGTTGGGCAAAATTGTTCAATCTGAATTTTGCTCCCCTCATCGTACTCAATTGAGGAATCAAACTCGTGCATTGCAATGTTGCAAGAAGTGATGAAACAACAGCCGTGTAAATGCTTAACGATTCATCCAGCACAACTTTCATAGTACATAAATTTGCGCAGAGGGGTCACAAAGATATTACTTCTGCAAAGCGTGGACCACAGAAACCACTCAGCTTAATAATTTTTCACCACATTAAGTAACACTGCCTTAACTTGTGGCTCGCAAAGCAATCTAGCCGGCGGCAAGGGGGACTACTGACCACAGATGGTTTGGCAAGCTGGGTAATATCACAAACAGAAAATACAGCATACATTAGAGGTCTCGCGCCTGGCAAAATACGCGAGGCTATGCCTGTTTGAAAGTGGAGACGCATAGTTGTGTGCTCTGGAATCGAACACATGCATTCCCATGCGACCATTACACCGGGACGAGTCTCATCAGTAAAACCAGTGTATGTCTTTGAGCTGCTGATAATGGCCTCGCGTGCATGCTAAGAGTGTCGGCTGAACGCAACGGCAATGCCGCCGCGGTCGTATTATCTCGGTAATCCCGTGAACAGTCGGCTGGCGGCCGTATAAAAAGAGGTGGTCTCTGCATGGCTCGTCACTCAGCCAAGAGCCACCGGACAAAAAACATGAAATTCGTAAGTAAAAACGGCAAAGAGCCCAAGCTTTTTGTCCTCCTCGTGATTATAGCGTGTAGTGTTTCCTCGGTTTTGCCTCTCGCTTCCAATGCACGTTTATATCTGTTGTTGCGTGGCAACTGAGACCATTTCTGTACGATATGTGTGGACTTAGAACTTACAACGCGAGTGCTGTGAGCTTCCAAAGCTATTGTGAGCTAGCTTAGAAACAAACCTGAACCAAGCTCGGGTTTCCCTCTGTATTGCCATGGTTTCAGGATGTGGACTTGTGTACTTTCCTCTAAATAGCCCTATTGTTTGGCAGTGCTTATGAATCTGGTTTACCTAGTTATGGATTACCTAGTAGACGGACTCTTGACAGCGTTTTTACTGTTCCAGCTGCTGATCGCCTCTCTGATGGTGTTGGCGGCCGCTCGGCCCCAGGAGGAGATTGCCGAGGCTTCCCCGGTAATCACTGAGGAGGCTGTCGACGTTAATTCCGATATCATCCGCATGGAGTCTGTCCAGAACGAGGACGGCTCTTTCTCATACGGTTTCGAGACCACGGATCCAATCGTGCAGGACGTGAGCGGCCAGATCCAGCAGATCGGCGACAACCCCGGCGTGGTCATGACGGGCACCTACTCGTTCGTCGCCAAGGACGAAGATGGCAACGACGTGCCAGTCACTATCAACTGGACGGCTGGCCCGGGTGGCTTCCAGGCCACCGGCGACGCCATCCCCCAGGCTCCTGAGGATCCTAATGCCGAGGCCCAGGCCCAGGCGTACGCGGCTGCTGGCGGAGTCCCTCAGCTGGCGGAGCCCGAGCAGGTTGTAGTCTAAAAATTCTACTTCGGGAATCCCATGTTCCTGAAATTCATCAGCAATTTGAATCGGTTTGCCATGATTTTTGAAGAACGTCCTAAACCTACACCATGTGGCATAGTTCTCCATGGTACTTGTCATATGCACTCACTGTTTGCTCTTGTGTTGTATATATTTTATGATGGCAATACACAAACGCAGCAAATGGTATGTGATCAACGCCATGATAATATATGCCACTGAAAACGATATTCACCGATCAAAAAGCAAAACCTCTTTGTGAGAGCAGAGGGTAATCAATTCGTCTACGAGAGGGTTTGGGAAAGCTGCAGCGTAAATATAAATGCCGCATGCTTAGTTTAGAACATTAATTCATGCACTCCGCATAGGCGATCACGTCGTGTACGATGTGAGCCAGATGTTATGTACTTCCATGACCTCATCAAGTACTGGGTGCTGAGAAACATTGCAAAGCAATTAGCATTGAAAAGCGTTGCGGCGAGGAAAACGCATAATCCACCCACCACCTGGGTACTGCGTGCCAATGAAGCAAATGTATAAACTCTGTCACAGCTATTTTCACTAACTTTCTCCGCCCAAGTAAACACAAACGCCTCAGCATACACGTGCCGACACGCTGAGCACCCCGCATAAAGACTCGTCGAACAATGCGTAATAGACCAGTCTACGTACATTGCACGCGCCCTTGCGCTTCCTGGCTGCCGTTGTTCTTTCCGGTCGCAAGCGCGACAAATGGAGGGGTGCAGGGTACACTGTTACAGGAGGCGTCACACACCTGGGCTGTGCAATGCACATTACTGCCATCGGGGCGACCGAAGGAAGGAGGAGCGCACTGATCAGCGATCTGTTCTGGACGCGAGGGCAGGCAGCCGTTCGAAACCGTGTCCATATCTCCGCAACGAGAGGTCGGGGTGACGTGAAATCTGCACAGATGGACAGGGAATCGAATTTGAATTCGAATCTTGGCAATTTTGTGGCGCCATGTGGCACGTAACACATGCACGCGAGTTGAAGATGCGAACTTTATAGTTTTAACGGTTTTTACGTTTGAGTCATCTTGGCACCCAGTGCAGGCACAAACGTGAATTGGGTTTCAAAACACCGGCAGAGGAACAGTTACGTTTTCATTGGGCATCACGAGTTTGTGCAACGCACGGTTGCAGCAACCACCTTTTTCAGTAGAATGTCGGACTACGCTCGTGCGTCTGTGGTGAACTGCCGGGGCAAGTTGTTTCACAGTTGGTATAACAAATTGGTTGGGATTTGCCTTCGTTTCTCATCACCATTTCTCATCAGCCTGGCTGCATGAAGATTAGACATGGCGCCCATGTCAGGTGTCTCAGACATGGTGACGGGCGGCTTTAGGTGGTTTACCGGCTTAGCCGAAAGAAAAAAAAACATATGGTACTCAATTATCTTATGCTATGGGACAAATCAAAAGCTCTGACATCGAAGCAAGACGAGCTTCTTATCAAGTCATAGAAAGGTTATTCTCGAAAGGGAAAACATTTTTGCGTAGCCGTGTTATCAACCTACGTTTGTTTTCGGCTGGAGGAAACATTCCACATTCACAGATAACGACGTAATTATCCGACACCATGAAATAAGCTCACTTAGCGCAACATGACTTAAGTATCCGACGCGCTCCGTAATACCAAAGCTCACTTGTAACTAGTGGTATACTTTCAAGTGGAAAGACGGCTCCAGACAACACAATTTTTCCGCTCAGTAAATATGCATCCTAATGCGTCATTGTTTGATTCCATCATCGTAACTTGCACAACATTGATTGGGAGCGAATTCCTAGCCATTTTATCTGGAAATCTTGTTTACGAAGGCCGGATATGAATGATGCAATATCTACATTTGTATTGGCTTTGACTGGTGCATGGCCAATAGAATGGCATAATTTAACACGTGCTCGGATGAGGGTCAAATTGGCCCCCGAGAGTTCTTATGGAATAGTTTCCGAGCGACGCAGCGTAGCTGCGCCAAATTATGCCTAGCTTTAGACAATTGAACAGCGGATTGCGTGGTGTCAAAAATTTAGGTGTACTGTGTAAGGTCACTGACTTGCGGCAGATCAAAATCAGGTCATGGTTTCAGCAAAGTCAATTTCTAGGGAATCGTCTAATCTGATGGATCAACGGGGTGTTAGAAGCCATATATCTCTGATAAACTTTGTAAGACAACGAAACAATTGACCAAATTTAATTGACCGAGGTTCCAGTGTAAAGGTCAGACCAAGGTCAAAACCAACCTGTTTCATTACTTTAAGGCTTGCTGTATGAGGTAGATTCTGTTGCTCATTTCTGATTTATTGATAATAGGAGCCGTTGAGATATCTTCCATGGACTTCTTAAAGGTCACAAAAGTCGTTGACTTACGATGACCTAGGTCAATATTTTGTTTTTAGCAGCACACTGCCTAGCTTAATACTTGTCACCTATTTAAACGCAAAACTCAGAGCAGTCTTGCATGACCTTGGTCCCCGTGACCTTCGAATGGTCAAACAAGGTTACTGACCTTAGATGAGCATGTGACTTTTGCCTAGAACAGGTATCTGGGTTATGGGGACACTTTGGAGAACAACTTAGAGTTTGATCATTTTGGCTCTATTTGACCCAAAGGTCATGATCTAAGAACGTCAAACCTTGACCTAGGTGAGTTGACGTACAGGCTAACAAACGTTATAAATTCGGTGTCTCTAGCTCTCTTAGTTCCTGAGATCTCAGGAGGTCAAACTGACCCGCACCCAAGCGAAGGGTATCCAATCGGCCATACGGTTGCGTGTTAAATGACGTTATTACTGCGTCGCAGAGACCTAGGTGAAATTGAAAAAGTCAGCACGAAAAAGTTTGCCCAACTTCGCGGGCGTGTAGCTCAGAAACTAGAAGGGATTAGGTCGTAAGAAGAGCATGGCTGTGGGCTGCACCGAATGACTTCCCAGATGGCTATTTCAGCTCGAAACCTCGTACAAATGTTGAATGCTCCCTTAAAATCGTAAAGTAATAACTGATGTGCAAAGGCAGGTTCCCTTCTCCGTGTTTACTTGCTCAGTGAGTGGTGGGGTGTAACAATGGACTGCCTGATTGGGGAATGTCAAAGAAGCGGTCGGCCCACCTCAATAATGTTGAGGATATCATGTATATTGAGAGAGAGAGAGAGAGAGAGAGAGAGAGAGAGAGAGAGAGAGAGAGAGAGAGAGAGAGAGAGAGAGAGAGAGAGAGAGAGAGAGAGAGAGAGAGAGAGAGAGAGAGAGAGAGAGAGAGAGAGAGAGAGAGAGAGAGAGAGAGAGAGAGAGAGAGAGAGAGAGAGAGAGAGAGAGAGAGAGAGAGAGAGAGAGAGAGAGAGAGAGAGAGAGAGAGAGAGAGAGAGAGAGAGAGAGAGAGAGAGAGAGAGAGAGAGAGAGAGAGAGAGAGAGAGAGAGAGAGGAGAGAGAGAGAGAGAGAGAGAGAGAGAGAGAGAGAGAGAGAGAGAGAGAGAGAGAGAGAGAGAGAGAGAGAGAGAGAGAGAGAGAGAGAGAGAGAGAGAGAGAGAGAGAGAGAGAGAGAGAGAGAGAGAGAGAGAGAGAGAGAGAGAGAGAGAGAGAGAGAGAGAGAGAGAGAGAGAGAGAGAGAGAGAGAGAGAGAGAGAGAGAGAGAGAGAGAGAGAGAGAGAGAGAGAGAGAGAGAGAGAGAGAGAGAGAGAGAGAGAGAGAGAGAGAGAGAGAGAGAGAGAGAGAGAGAGAGAGAGAGAGAGAGAGAGAGAGAGAGAGAGAGAGAGAGAGAGAGAGAGAGAGAGAGAGAGAGAGGAGAGAGAAGAGAGAGAGAGAGAGAGAGAGAGAGAGAGAGA